AGCCTCACCCTGCTTCTTACTCCGACGTTAATAAATCATTAGCTCATCCATGAACATGATTTCTGCCCGAGTCCCGTCGGATTGCATCGGCTGTGGGGATGAAGACGACAATTCCCATGACTCCACACTCAGTCACAGCGTCATCAAACTACGCATTTGTTTCTTTGTTTGTTTTGAATACGCGCCCTCTAGCGGCGAAAACTTACATATTGTGCCTTTAATATATATAAATATTGTTTGCCACATAAAAGTACATGTAAGACTTTAGAGCAGGGCTGTCTAAACTCGGTCCTGGAGGGCCGGTGTCCTGCAGAGTTTAGCTCCAACCCTAATTAAACACACCTGAACCAGCTAATCAAGCTCTTACTAGACATAGAAACTTCCAGTCAGGTGTGTTGAGGCAAGTTGGAGCTAAACTCTGCAGGACACCGGCCTTCCAGGACCGAGTTTGGACAGCCCTGCTTTAGAGCATATCGTAAATGAGGCACTGATGAGGAAATAGAGTGGTCAGTCGCCATTCTTATGTTTTGTTGCAATATGCATAAATACCTCTTTTAAAAACAAAAACTTTGCTCATTTCTTTAAGTACAGGTGTCTGTTTTCTCAGGCTGTAAAAAAAAAAAAAAAACTCCCTGTAGCTTTTTTGTGAAAACACTGTTCTGTTTCCCCTTTCCTCTCTTATCCATTGGTCTTTAAGTACTTGGCTTGCCAGCGTTTTTCAGCTAGATCACCTTGCCTGCTTTATGGAAAACACATGGCTCACACTCATCCAAAAGTGAAACCTAGTATTTTCGACATATTTGTTAATGAGCATATAACTAATGGAAACAGGAAAATCTAGTTTAAGAGCCACAATTACACGGGGTTTGTACTGTATGTTCTCCTTCTCTGTGCCCCTTTCCCAATCCCCTACCTCCATCATACACATAAACACACTCACTTTCTTTCTTCTGGAAGGCAGAATATTATCTCTGTTTTGCTCAGTTGGAGATATTTTTGCAGCTCTGTGTGCTAAAGGGAGGAGTTTAATACATGTGGCCCTGCTTAGGGTTTGGAAAATGTGAAATTCCCAGTGAGTCATGTTAAGTATTTCCTGAACATTTAGGACTGGTTGGTTACAGATGTGACTAACTGTGTGTTTATGTGCATGTACATCTTGTGTGTATAAGTGAATATAGATTATACAGTACTGCTAACACCCCTAGCTGGGTTGCTTGAAACAAAATATTTGTGTTTCATATCATTTGAAACTCATTTTGAACTACTATTAATCACAAGCTAATTGTAGTTTATAGGAGTTTTAAACAAAGGTTTGGGAGTAGCATGTTTATCTAATCCTGCCAGTCACGATGCATGAGTAAGCATGCATAAATGGCTGCATAACTCACTCCAGTGACAATTCTTCAGGCATCCCTTCACCACGCCATCTCCACCTTTGTGTCAGTTTTATTACTGATTCATGTTTAAGTACAGGGGAGTTAGAGCTTGAGTCCTCAATCATGAACAGCAATCAATTAAAAAAAATAAAATATAGTTCCGAATATATACTTTATCACCAAATAATTATATGAACATGTCGCATACATTAATAATGTTACAAAAGATTTTTATTTCAACCTGTTCTTTTGAACTTTTTATTCATCAAACAATACCGAAAAAAGTATCAAGATTTTCACCAAGATATTAAGCAGTATAACTGTTTTCAACATTTATAAAAATAAGAAATGTTTCTTGAGCACCCAATCAGCATATTAGAATATATTACATTGTAAATTATATTAAAATAATATATTTTGATCTAATGAATGCAGCCTTGGTGAATTTTTAAAAACTGAATGGTAGTATATGTATTTCTTATTATAACTAACATTTTCTTAATTCATAAAAATATAATAGGCTAATAATTAAAAAATAATAGTTTTTTTTATTTTGAATATTTGCTGGAAAATATACAGATAATAGGCAAAATATAGAGACAACAAAACAAAACTTAAAATTTCAGATTTTAAAGCTTAAAGGGGTCATATGATGCGATTTCAATTTTTCCTTTCTCAACGCACTGGATAGCTGGCCAATCACAGCACACCTCACTTTTTCAGACCGATGAGCTTTGTAAAAATCGACGCGTTTCAAAAAGGCGGGGCATAGAGGAGAAACAATCATGTACAGTATGTGGAAAATAATGTGTTTTTTTTACTTTAAACCGCATAAACACATTTCATTACACCAAATACACAAAATAATGTTCTTTTTAGCTGCATCATATGACCCCTTTAATGTCATGTTTTTTTTAAGATGTCAGGTTTTTTATTTTTAGAAGAACTGGTGTGGCATCATTTCGAACAAAATCTGGGCCAAAACTAAGTTTGTTTATAGTTTTTTCAGGAGTTCAAAACAGCTTGCCAAAGCGAACTTTCCATAGCTACCATTGGTCGCTAAAAGTATACTGCTGCTCAGGTATTTCAAACTTCTTTTTACCCCTATAAGCAAAAAAACTAAACAAAAAGAACTTTGTCATTAGTATATCAGGGCCTTAACCTTTTGGCCACCAAGCTCTAGTGCTTCAGCGGGACACAGCCCCTATTATAAAAGCCCAGCGGGTGGCCTGCATGATGTCTGGGAACAGCTGAGGGCTCAAGCACCATGGGAGCGGCAGTTGTCTGGGGCGGGGGTTATCCTAACATGTGGCAACCTAATAAAGAATACTGTCTGGAAAAAAAATACAGCTGCTTATTTCTGTAAGGTAGCAGATCTGAAAGCAAAGCCAGAGAATCAGCAAATTCAAGTGTTGTTTACCATGATATGACATGCACTTGGCAGAATAGTGAAATAGAGATTTAAGGGAATGACGCAATGCAAATGATGAATGAGAATGCAATTTAGAACTCAGGTTGAAACAGAACAAGTATACTGTGATCTATTGCCTGTCTGCAAAGTGCAAAGATGCCATGTAAGGAGCTGCAGATGAAACATTACAGCT